ACTACAGCACACACACAGATTACCGCTATTAACCATGGGGCGAGGCCTGAGGTCCGTTCATCCTCTGTCTGTTTGTCTTGGATGACACATTTTTCTGACTAAAAAAGACACAGATAAGAAAACAAATGCTAAGAAATAAGCCCCTTTCACTTGACTTCTGCGAGTTCCTGTTCAAAATGTTTCAAATGAAAATGACTTTGCTTCAAAGTAAAGTCACTCCCACTTTGAAGGGATTCGCATACTACACTGTAGTCTCGTCGTTAGCAGTTTAAGACCCCACAAAAGTTATTTTTCCTTCTTACCGGCTAGTATAGTAGAGTCTCAGTGGTTTTTTGGGAACTTGAAAAAAGTCTTAAAATTTAACCTGATTTCATTCAAGCCTTGACGCAGAGTCGGGCGCATTTAATGAGGTAAAAATGGTACCTTCTTCTTGCAGATCAGTTTACAAATTCTGAATTCAGCATTTATATACACAACGGTACAACTTTAACACTCAATACAAACAAATTTAACAAGTTGCCACTCATTGCAAGATTGAGATTCATATCGTGCATCCAAGGAATGTAGCAGACAGGCTTTGATCAGCAGTTTGGGCGCCAGAAAGCCGAGAAAGGTTCACAACTACATTGGATTTGTCACAACGATGACACCAAACTTATCTCGGAATCTGCAGCATGAAGCGACTAGGAGTATCTCGACTCCCCCCTGGATGGGATGCTAGTCCATCGCAGGGTTACTTCGCAACATTATATTCACCGGTACTCATTCGTACACCTGGGTGAAGAGGGGCACTGTGAGAGTGAAGCGCCTTGCCTAAAAACAAACTCAGTGTCCCCCGCCAGGGTTCGAACCCGGACCGCTCGATCAGGAGTCCGGTCCACTAACCAAGAGGCCGCCGCGCCTCCGCGTCATGTCAGAGTGCATAGTAATGTACTAATTCACTCATGGGATAAACTACGTTTGTGTTATACATTGAAGTCTTACTTGGACGATTCCTGACGTGTTGCAACCCGCTTTAAGCCATTCACTGCGATGACGGTCAAATCCATCCGAACACCTGGCAGAAATAAAAAGAACAACAACACGTAAATGTGAGATCTTGGATGTACATGTATGTCAGAATTCTCGTTGGCATATGTGCACCTCACTGCTCTCCAGTGTTGGGAGAAGCACTTTCTCTACTCACCAGTCATTTTATCAACATTGATATGGTCACAGCATTACATTGCGACATACGTCCACCCCCAAAATAGCCAACAAAAACATACAACAAAGAACTTTGCCAGGTGTCCTAACCATTTCCCTTTGCTAACTATGGCTAAAGAGAGCTAGATCATCTACAGTTGTAAGCCCCAAATCTATGCAGATGAGAGACGACAACCTATATGTACAAGTAAGGTAGGGAGCTTAGCCCTAGCTCAGTGTATATGTCCACTCGTGCCCTTCTCCATTTTTCCAATGTTGAATGCAGCCACTACTGTGTTCAAATCGTTTTTATCAATATTGATGGCAGGCGGGAAAAACGTGCCCCAGCAATAACCACACGAAACGTAGCCATTGAGGTATTGAAACTTCTGTTTGCTTGGTCACACAATATTTTTGCAGAATGATTGTGTGACAACCTTCAAGGAAGAGGCCTGCATAAGATAGTAGAGTGGAAAATAATTAATACAGTAAAGTTCGAAACCTGTTAAGTTTGTTACACCAGGTGCAATGAAACTCTGTGCTGCTTCGTATTTCCATGCAGTCTTTACATGTACTGGCCATGATGCAATCTGTTGGAAATGAAAAGATCTCAAACTCTCATTTGACATAATTGAGCATGACAGTAAAAATTATTACATCCAAAACATTTCCGGCCCCTTATCAGTGAAACGTGAAGTGAACACAGAGGTACTGATTTGGATGAATGATTTTAGAATTCTTGTATTGAACAACCGTCTAAGAAAAAATTGACAAAAATTAACAAAATCAGAAGCTTCAAATTGCTGTTAGCCAACCAACTTTAAACAGAACACTGCTTTGATAAACAAAACCTTTCTGTTTGTTTATGCCACAAACTGTAAAAGTAATCATAAGAAAACACTAACATGGATACTACCAAATGAGCATCAGTCAATTTCAATAAATTTTCTCTAAAACACCCAGTGGACCTCAAGAACATCCGATTCATATCATCCAATCAAAAATAAGCATGAGCTCATTGACAGGTGTGACGTCAGCATGTGTTCATCAAGACACACGATGTTGCTTAGCAACATCCCAATGTTGTAGTGTGGATGACGAGCGCAGTGCATGTTGGTATTTGTTTTCGGTTTGAGCGTGTTTACTTGTGACTGCTATAGTGTGATGATGTCTGACAAACATCGAAATAACCACTGTTTGATGAGAATATCTCTGCTTCTACCAAACTTTCCATTGGGAAACTTTCTTTGCCATGTTATTGTCCCAAGGAATTAATGTTTTCCTTGGAACTGAGATTCTATGATGTACATTATTTTGCACTTGTGCTATATTTCCTGCCTGTGACATTTGTTGTTTTGAAGACAAACTCACTTTTCTTGGGACGAAGTATGATAACAGTGTCATTGACCACCCTGCTCTGATTGATGTTCACTGCATCATAAGTATAAAATGTGCGAAATATTTGCCCTGAAATTGACAAAGAAAATGCACTTTTGTTATGTTTTCACACCTACAGCTACTTCAGAGTGGTTCTTAACACCCTAACTAGAGCTAACTACAGGCCAATACACATCCAAGGTGATGTGTCACAGGTAATTAATCTTGACCTCATGCTTGGTCAACAATGCATATGCATTACGCTCTAGCGCATCCTCTGTTTTTAACCTTAACTACATAAATTTACATCTTACTTATCACTGAATTAATTAAGACTGATTCATATTTCAACAGTTAGTACACTGCCTGCATGTTGATTGGCAAGTTGACATCATTTGTGAAGCTTGACTTACAAATGCCATAATAATGCCTCAGTTTGTCCACATAGTACGCATCTGAAATGCCAACGTTAACAGCGTGCTCAGCACGTGATATGTTTGTCACTGGAATTGCAATCTGTTGAAATGAAATGGACACTTGTTATGCAACACTTTGAGTGGTAGGCCATGGAACATTCCACAAGTAACTGGTATTTTCTCAGTTTTCACACAAGTACTACCTTTCAGGTCTGGCTGAACTGTGTA